ACGATACTTGAAGAAAACCCCATCGAGGGGGTCTGGTAGCCTCGCATAGCATCGGGCAGGAAGCACGCCCACAGGTGCTGGAGACTCGTAACGTCGGGCAGTAAGCACGCCATTGGGTGGGGGAGAGTCGATCACCATCAGGCCCCCATGTGCGTAAGCCTCGATCACCATCGATAATCCCAAGCGGGTGACCTTGGTCACCATCGGGAAACCCATACGGGTGTCTCAGTCACCATCAGTAATCCCAGGCGAGTGGCCTCGGTCACCTTTGGCAAACCCAGACTGGTGTCTCGGTCACCATCGGCAACCTCAGACCATTGGTGCGGGAGCGTCAGTCGCCATCGGTAATCCCAAGCGAGTGGCCTCGGTCACCATCGGCAAACCCAGACGGGTGTCTCGATCACCATCGGCAACCCCAGACCATTGGTGCGAGAGCCTCGGTCACCATCAGCAACCCCATGCCATGGGTGTGGGAGTACTGCACAGAGCCGAGAGTTGGGTGCGGTGGCTTGGCCTTCATCGGTAACCCCCGACAGGTGCCTCGGTAAACCCAGGCCATTGGTGCGGGAGTGCCTCACAGAACTGAGCGCTGGGTGCGGGAGCCTCGCACAACGTCAGGCGGGGCGTACGACCCCCTGGTGCGTGGGGAAGGAAGTGTCCACATTTCAGACATTTCAATGTCTACTGGTAGCATTTTGAATATGCTTTTTTAGCTCTTTAGGGGGGATGGTTCCCAGGCCTGGGGTTGTGACTGGAACATGACCCGATGCTACCCATAGCCCCATACTGGCCACTGGAGCCCCCCACCACTGGTAAGGTTCCCGGTAGTGCTCCGACCAGATACATTCGGAGCTCTGATAAGTCCTAAACGATGGAAATTTCCCCTCCTAATTGGAAATGGATAATTCAAAAAGCACTAGTGCCCCAAAAGTTTAAATCGATGGATAGCCTCGATGAATGGTGGGAAACAACGAACATTAGTTGCGGTCTACAACCGAGATAATTCTCGGATGATGGAAAATGACCCTCCCCTCCCCCATTGAAATGGGGAATTTCGAAAGCTGTAATACCCTGACCGCGACATCGATGGATGTCCTCGACAAATGGTCAAACCAACGAACAATACTTACGGGTAAGCACTTGGATGCGGGAGCCATGCACTTCATGCCCATAAAAAAGGCCATTGGCTGGCCACAAGAAGGGCGATGGAGAAAGTTTCCTCGTTTCAGACATTTCAATGTCTACATGTAGCATTTTGCCTAAGTTTTTTTAGCTCTTTAGGGGGTAGTGGTCTGACACCTACTCCCACCCCCCGGGGGGTACTGGGCTAGGAAGCGCCTAGCGCTAGCATAGGTTAGCCCCCATCACCGGTGGGGCTAGTTTGACATGGGAGCCGGAAGAATGTGATCATGTGAATGGTCGGTGCACGCGATACTCATGAACCTCTTCCCCATATCTTGGGCGAGGTATAAACTCAGAGTGGTGTAGCACCCACCTGTGCATTGGTCATTATTTTTCAATGGTCGCCAAACTGGGCAACTACTCGTCGCTTTGGTCTAGTTCGCGTGCTCTATTGACTCTGTGTTACTTGCCGAGACATTTTTCACACTACCAAGTCCTTTGATGGCAACGACCTACTAGGGGGAGACCAATAAGACATCTAGGGGTACGTATCAGACTAGATAGAAGCCCCGAGCGGGTTATGCTACAAGCCCACCCCTCATTAAAACATCTAGCCAGCCCTTTCCTCCACTCAAACTCAAAGAGCCCTCTTCCCAAAAAAAACCTTCTCTACCCCCGTAATAAAAGGCCAACCATTCCCTTAAACCCAAAAAAGGCCACCCCTTTCCTATAAAACCAAAAAAGGCCACACACCCCACCCCACAAAAAGTAGGCTTCGCAAAAAGGCCGTTAAATATTTGAACCAAAAAAAACTTGTCGTTGTTGGTTACCTTCGTGATGGGAAATTGGAGGGTATACTAACCTATTTCTAGTTATCGTGCCAAGCAGTTGTGGTGTGCCCTCGTTCATTGTTTACTCCACTCCTCGGCCAATCATTGGTCATGTGTGTTGTGGACTGGTGGGCGTGGATGCTACTACTCTTACACAATGGGCATGTGAGTGGTGATATGATTGTGTGTGTGGGCAGGATCTGTGCTACATGCATCGAACTGTCGAGCCGCACTCCTCTTCAATGTTTCCCCTTGCGATCTTTGAACCCAAGGGGTGCGATCGGGATCCTGTGTTGCGTACCTAAATCGATGGAATTTTAGATCGTGCTAGGTGTCCCGTGTGTTCGTTTTGTGTATACTCAGTCACGGCAATGCATCGGTGCTCGATCGTTCTTTCGGATGCAAAATATTTTTTTAGCATAGGGTCCCTCAACCCCATTGCTCGATGCCTACCAATTTTTGTCCCTCGACATGAACGATGCTCGTGTCCTGTTATGGCCTCGTCCACTGCCAAGGCATCGGATTAAGGACCATACGGTGCCCGATGTCACGAAGGATTGCTACCTGCTTGATCCTGCCAGTAGTAATATGCTTGTCTCAAAGATTAAGCCATGTATGTGTAAGTATGAACTAATTCAGATTGTGAAACTGCGAATGGCTCATTAAATAAGTTGTAGTTATTTTGATGGTATTTGCTACTCGGATAACCATAGTAATTCTAGAGCTAATACGTGCAACAAACCCTGACTTCTGAAAGGGATGTATTTATTAGATAAAAGGTCGATGCGGGCTTTGCCCGTTGCTTTGATGATTCATGATAACTCGACGGATTGCACGGCCTTTGTGGTGGCGACGCATCATTCAAATTTCTGCCCTATCAACTTTCGATGGTAGGATAGTGGCCTACTATAGTGGTGACGGGTGACGAAGAATTAGGGTTCAATTCCGGAGAGGAAGCCTGAGAAACGGCTACCACATCCAAGGAAGGCATGAGGCATGCAAATTACCCAATCCTGACATAGGGAGGTAGTGACAATAAATAACAAAACCGGGCTCTACGAGTATGGTAATTAGAATGAGTACAATCTAAATCCCTTAAGGAGGATCCATTGGAGGGCAAGTATGGTGCCAGAAGTCGCGGTAATTCCAGCTCCAATAGCGTATATTTAAGTTGTTGCAGTTATAAAGCTCGTAGTTAAACCTAGGGGTGGGTCAACCGGTCTGCCTCACGGTGAGCACCGGTCTGCTCGTCCCTACTGTCGACGATGCGCTCCTGGCCTTAATTGGCCGGGTCGTTCCTTGGCGCTATTACTTTGAAGAAATTAGAGTGCTCAAAGCAGGCCTATGCATGTATACATTAGCATGGGATAACATCACAAGATTTCGATCCTATTGTGTTGGTCTTCAGGATCAGAGTAATGATTAACAGGGACAGTCGGGGGCATTTGTATTTCATAGTCAGAGGATAAATTCTTGGATTTATGAAAGGCGGACAACTGCGAAAGCATTTGCCAAGGATGTTTTCATTAATCAAGAATAAAAGTTGGGGGCTCGAAGATGATCAGATACCATCCTAGTCTCAACCAAGAACGATGCCAACCAGGGATCGACGGATGTTGCTTTTAGGACTCCGCTGAAACCTTTTGAGAAATCAAAGTCTTTGGGTTCCGGGGGGAGTATGGTCGCAAGCTGAAACTTAAAGAAATTACGGGAAGGGCACCACCAAGAGTGGAGCTTGCGACTTAATTTGATTCAACACGGGGAAACTTCCCAGGCCATACATAGTAAGGATTGATAGACTGAGAGCTCTTTCTTGATTCTATGGGTGGTGGTGCATGGTCGTTCTTAGTTGGTAGAGCAATTTATCTAGTTAATTTCGTTATCGAACGAGACATCGGCCTGCTAACTAGCTACATGGATGTGATCCTCTGTGGCTAGCTTCTAAGAGGGACTAAGGCCACTTGGGCCAAGGAAGTTTGAGGCAATAACAGGTCTTTAATGCCCTTAGATGTTCTGGGCCGCACGCACGCTACACTGATGTATTCAACGAGTATATAGCCTTGGCCGACATGCCCGGGTAATCTTTGGAATTTCATCATGATGGGCATAAATCATTATAATTGTTGGTCTACAACGAGGATCTCCTAGTAAGAACGAGTCATCAGCTCGAGTTAACTACGTCCCTGCCCTTTGTACACACCGCCCGTCGCTCCTACCGATTGAATGATCCTGTGAAATGTTTAGATCGCGACGACGTGGGTGGTTTGCTGCCCGCGACGTTGTCAGAAGTCCACTGAACCTTATCATTTAAAGAAAGGAGAAGTCATAACAAGGTTTCCGTAGGTGAACCTACAAAAGGATCATTGTCGAAACCTGCCTAGAAGAACGACCCGCGAACACGTTATCGAACAACAACTAGAGGGGGACTGGTCACGTAATTGCCCCTTAACCCCTCAACGTCTCGAAGCACTGGGATCGCTTTCTCCCGCATGCACTTCGTGCTGTTGGATTGCACGACCGGGTATCTCCGAGGCAAAACGAACAACCCCTAGGGTGAATCACGCCAAGGAATTAGAATGAAAAGGCGGTCGTGTCCTGTACTGGCCCCATTCGCAGTGTGCGTGTGGGATAGATATGCCTGCTTTGTCGTGAAAACACAAAATGACTCTCGGCAACGGATATCTAGGCTCTCGCATCGATGAAGAATGTAGCAAAATATGATACTTGGTGTGAATTGTAGAATCCCGATAACCATCGAGTCTTTGAATGCAAGTTGTGCCCCAAGCCATTAGGCCGAGGGAACGTCTGCCTGGGTGTCACGTATCGTTCCCCCATCCGAACCAGAACCATAGGGTATCGGTCGAGGTATGGGCGTAAATTGTCCTACTGTGTGCAAAATGCTTATGGTTGGTCTAAAATTGAGTACAGGGCGTCACGGTGCCGCAACGATCGGTGGTAATGCCTTGTGTAGCCTCGTTCTGAGTCATGCGCGCTCGTCGATCTGGACTCTATGATCCTCTTGGCATCTCACTTGTGGCACTTGCATCGCGACCCCAGGTCAGGCGGGACTACCCCCTGAATTTAAGCATATCACTAAGCAGAGGAAAAGAAATGTACAAGGATTCCCTCAGTAACGGGGAGCGAACCGGCAAGAGCCCAGCTTGATAATCGGTCGCCCTCGGCGTCTGAATTGTAGTCTGGAGAAGCATCCTCAGCGACAGACTGGCCTAAGTCCCCTGGAAAGGGGCGCTGTAGAGGGTGGGAACCCCGTCCTGCCCAGACCCAGTTGTACCACGATGCGCTGTCTACAAGTTGGGTTATTTGGTAATACAACCCTATTCAGGCGGTAAATTCCTTCCAAGGCTAAATACGGGTGAGAGACCGATAGCGAACATGTATCGCGAGAGAAAGATGAAAAGGAATTTAAAAAGAGAATTAAAGAGTTCTTAAAATATTCAGGAGGGAAGTATATGGGGCCGGCGATGTGCCCTAGTCAGATGTGGAACGGCGATGGCCGGTCAGCCGATTGGCTCGGGGCATGGACCGACGCGGATCATGGTGGCAGCCCAATCCCGGGCCTTTGATACGCCCGCAGAGACGTCGTCGCCTTGATTAGTGGAACCCAACACGCGCCATCTCGGTATCCTTCGGCATCGGCGTGCTCAGGGCGTCGGCTTGCTGGCTCCCTATCCGGCCCGTCTTGAAACACGGACCAAGGAGTCTGACATGTGTGCGAGTCAACGGGTAGAAAACCCATAAGGCGCAAGGAAG